GTATCATCATCATCCTCATCAGCATCCTCATCAGCATCAGTATCATCATCATCCTCATCAGCATCATCATCATCATCATCATCATCACCATCAATTTCCTTTGTCTGTAGCAATGTTTGAGTTTTCAGGGTTTAGCGTAGATGCGAACCATCACCAGTTTAATTCCATTACCCCCCCTTCATCCCATCGAGCCCCAGTTAACCGGGTTCTTACTCGTTCTGGACGCAGTGGGCGGCGGTCAGCAGCCAGCGGTCGTTTAGCACCGACGCTCCACACGTGTGTCCCTGCCCTCTGGCGTGGAGGCTCACCTGCCAGGGCCACTCCCCCTTCCGAGACGCCTGACCGCCGATGATGCGGGAGCTTTGATACTCCCGCCTGCCACAATCTGAAAAAAAACACACTGGTGTTGGCATCGGAGTGAGGACCATTCCTAGCAAAATGAGACACTTCCTGTTTTTTGCTTTAGCTTTAGGACTAAGGTGAGAATTGAGTTTAAGTCGGGTATACACTGTACGTTTTTTTTTTTATTGTTGCACGCAGCTACAGCTCACACTGTACGATGAAACCGCAGGGTTTAAAAGTTCACAGCTCACGACGTTTGTCCTCACACTATGCGACCCGACGCTCTGATGCGATCTACCTGCTCAAACTCTACGTCTAAAAACCAGGTGGGACTCAGCTCCGCAGTGAGATGGCGCTACTCGGACTCGTCTATCCAGAAACCAAACAAATAGAAGAGGAACATGAAGCTCACTTCTGCGTTCTCATGTCCTCGTGAAAGGTCACCAGCCTCAGCCCTAGCACTGTTCCAATTCACATGAACAAGAAGACCAACAAAGGACAAAGTCCCCGGATGTCGTTCTGGCCCCTCCCTCTTTACCCAGCATGCATCAGAGCAGACTTGTCTGTTCTCCAGACTGACAGCTGTCCCAGCATGCACTGCGGCAGCAGCAGGTTCCAGGTTAGCGCTCACAGAGTATTAAGTTAAAAGTTCTCTTTTCTGGTGCTGTTGTTCAATAAAAGTATGTTGTTAGATAATCTGAGGGGAGAATATTATACTTTAAGCGTCACTATATGGAACATTTACTGATTCAGTGCGTCATTTAAAATAAAGTTCATTCAGATGTTGAGAGGACTGCGGCAACCAGCGGAGCTCAGAGGGTAACCGCAGATGGGAAGGTTAGCCCGTCCGCTGCAGCCAGGGCTAAGGTTAGCCCATCCGCTGCAGCCAGGGCTAAGGTTAGCCTGTTTGCAGCAGCCAGGGCTAAGGTTAGCCTGTTTGCAGCAGCCAAGGCTAAGGTTAGCCCATCTGCTGCAGTCAGGGCTAAGGTTAGCCCGTCAGCTGCAGCCAGGGCTAAGGTTAGCCTGTTTGCAGCAGCCAAGGCTAAGGTTAGCCCATCTGCTGCAGTCAGGGCTAAGGTTAGCCCATCCGTGGCAGTCAGGGCTAAGGTTAGCCCATCCGTGGCAGTCAGGGCTAAGGTTAGCCCATCTGCTGCAGCCAGGGC